TGAGTACAATGAGTCTATGTTTCCTCACCCCAGGGGCTTTGGGCAGGTAAAAATAAGAGTGTTCTCAACAAAGGTATCAAAGAGTCTTTCCCTCTTCTATTTTAGCTAGGTTTCATTACGATAGATCCATGTTAATGCAATCTAGATATGGCACGAAATCAAGCAGACAAATACAGATAAAATGGTTATAGGCAGCTGATGGCTACAGGCTTCTCTGTCAGTATCAGGTGTTGCATTCTGCCTTTTCAGATTGCATAGGTTGCCTTTCGGCTCTGAGCATGGAAAGCAGGTTTAGTACCAGCTTAGGCAACAGTCTCAGCTTCTGTCTTATTTTGCTCCAAGGTGATTTAGATGCAAATGTTACTTTACTGTTGGCTTGGACACAAGTGGCCACTGAAGATTCATCCAAGGCAGAGCCAAGAATGGATGAGTTCATCAGCATGAACTGCTGTGGTATTTCTCCACCTTTCTCCTACATCCCAAAACTTAACATCTTTGTTTTAAATTCCTTAGTGTTCTGGGGAGACTATACCTACAGCATAAGTGCAAAAGGCTATAGGTATTTCAGGTTATACAAATGAGATATGCACAAGACTGAAGAGAAGAATATGATATAAGATACTAGATATAACCCTGGATCCTACACATCATCTCTTATATTTTCCTCTGGAATGGATTTCCTCTGTAAAGTTTATTCTTTGAATTTGCAATACTGTACTAGTATGATCAATAATATGCCTTATTGCTCTTGGTCACTGCTGGCTGGCAATGAACTTTTTGTATAGGAAAATATTATCTAGAATTTCTGTGATTATTATATTTAAATAAAAAACAAATTTCAAATATTCAATTTTATCTATCTTCTCTTGACAGGAAATAAAATACTGAGTAAGCAGAGTATAAGCTTGGGAGGGGTGAGAAATGACAGTTCAGGACACATGAATTTGGTTTCAATCTCATTTACGGGGCAGTTCTCTTGCAAGTTAGTGCAATAATTTTTAAACTGCACCCGTGCTCTTTTGGTAGAGGGAAGCTCCTATGCTTCATTGCTTGTGGTCTCCTGGGTGTAAGAGCACAGGCTGTTTGGGTTGGAAATAAAAAATTTCTCAGTTTGACTGGGAACAGTGTCCTTCACTTCTATGGAAGCTGTTCATTCAGATCTTGGTCTGCTGTGTCTTCTGGTGTTTACACAAATATTTTAATTCATTCTTCAATCTTAATCATACCTGGTTTAATATTTCTGTTACAAATCTCTATGAAACCTCTCCCTTTTTGCCGTGCCAGTGTGCTGCTCTGGGCTCTGAAACCTGTGGTTAGACCCATCTCTGTAAGAAATATCAGGGTCATTCCTGCAGCCAAGCTCACCTTTGGTGGACAGCTTCTGTCCTCAGCCACCCCAGGCCCTGGGCACTGCACCTGTGGCTTATGGCAGAGGTCTATCACTGGGGAAGCTCCCAGGGTTGCTTTTGTTGCCCACTTTGCAGTAGTGAAAAGTTTTTAGCAAAGGGTGGCTCTGGCTTTCCAAATGCTAAAAACTTAGAAAATACAAAATTAAGACCCCAGTGCCTGCTACCAGATGGAGTAACCAACCTGTGCCTTGCAGTGTGTTTATGTGAGGGAATTATGAGAGCAAGACCTATTAAAAATCCTGATGCTAGCCCATGGTTATTTGTACAGGCATAATGGAATATTTATTTCTGTCTGATTCACCTCTTGAATTCAGTAAGAAGCCCAGGTGTGAGAAGTGCTGAGGCAGTAGTGCAGAACGGCTGAGTCCCAGGCCTCATTTGTGATGTGAACCTTTGCAAGTGAGT